GATTTATCATACATTTTATGGAGAGAGGTGTATAAAACCACAGGGTTTTTTCAAATACTTCTTCATATAAAGCAATCCTTACTGATGAAACAAGTCAGTGACTGCAAGCAGTTTTTATTTGCTTTTCCTTAGTATTGATTTTTGTCTGCTTGTTGTGTGTCTTCTTTCTCACCACGAACATGTGAAATCCAGCCCCACATCCTTCCTAGGGACACATCTGACAGCCCACTTATGGAGAAGATGGCTATGTGTTATCACTTGTAAGGCTTTTTATATTGTATTTCATATTTTTATGAGAGCCATCTTCATAAGCATTAGATTTAGAGTTCTGAAGTATTTGACAAAGTTACATAATAATGCTGATTGAAAACAAATTAGATACTTTTATAGTTTTTTAATTCGTTTATACTTAATAAAGAAAACTTGGGACATTATTTTTAAAGCATTAAAGGGTAAAGGCCGATTAATTATATTAATTCATTGATAGCCACTTTCATGATTTCTATTTGAGATATTTATCACCAAAGTAGTATCATACTGAATTTATAACTTTACAGGGTGTTTTCCCCTTGATATAATACACTATAAACATTTCATCTATTGAGAATCCTTACAATAACCCAGTAAGGTTCAAATACCGATATTATAGTCATTTAGGAATTTTTGTTGCAAGTCTCATAAATCAAGAAACTAGGCAGAGAAGTTAAATATCTTTCCCAAAATTATATATAGAAATTGGGGATATGTTGGATATGTATGAGAAACAAGGAAAAAAGAAGAATCTAGGATAATTTCCAATGTATTGGGTAATAAAGTTGACAATATTACCAGGATTCATGTCAGAAAATGTAAGAATAATATTCTGGCTTTAAGCTACGTATTTTAATAGCTAAAATGTCTTTACAATTATTTAGGATCTTTGGTTCTTGGTCAGCTAAAAGCATAAGTATATATAGGCATATTCCCATTTAAAATCTGCCATTTCAGTCTTACATATCAATGTGAAGTCATTTTCCAGTAGCAATGGTCAGGGCAAAATGCCAGTCTGGTTCTCAGGTTCAGAGTTTTTATTATGCGAGTGGATTTATACAGCTATATAGCCATTTCAGTGGGTTCACACTACCCATAAATTATTTTTGTTAGCAGCACTGCTAAGTAAATTCTGATTCTAGTTTGGCAATGAAATATGACTTTTTTTTTTTTTACTATTTTAGCCATATCTCATGTATAAAATTCCAAACATGGCCTACTGTTCAGATCTGGCAATATCTTTCATAATACTAATAAGTACAACAAAATTGATCATCTTATAAGGAGCCTGGAAAGCAAAGTGTATTACAGATAACAGTAATAAGCCATTGGTTCCTCAGTTCTTGTCCTCAGTTCCAAAGATGAAGCCATTAGTTCTTGTTCTTAGTTCCAAAGATTACAAATAAGAAGCCTTTTGATTCAAATAAAAAAGTACATTATTTGACTTAGCCACAAACATAAAGGTCAGAAACCACCATGGAGCCGTTTCTGCCTAGCAACAATTCACCTTGCATTCAATAGAGAATAACCCAGACGTTCCTGAAGACGTCACATGGTCGATATAACCCAGCTCCATGGTGGCACCAACGCAGACAACAGGAAACAAGCGCAGGACCTTCCAGAGAGGCACAGCGCTCGATGACTTTAAGTCACTGTCGCCTCGTGCCACACGTATTCCCCAAAGTCTGCTTGATGAAATACCACGATCGCCATGGGGTGTACTCTCCCGAAATCTTGAGTAGTCTTTGCTGCCACCCCAAAACCCAAAGAGATGTCTGCCATGTAGTACACTACCGCTCCCTGGTATCGAGAGGTGTTTTCGGTAATTCGACCAAGACCAGATTTCAACACATGTTCCCATAGAGGAAGGGCTGCGCTTCTCCAGGTTTTATCCACACTTTATACTCCGCACAGCCATGATTGTGCAACCGGAACTTCCATGTCCTAGTGAATTTTCTGAAGCAGGTCCCCAAAGACACCCCTAGATGTTGGCGGGTCTGTCCACAAGCAGCTGAAGGATCTTGCGAGCTTCTCTAACATCACAGTCTCCTCTTTGGTTAAGGGCCACATTTTCCCACTAGGCAGGAGCACGGAATCCAAGTGCCTCACATACCGGAAACGGAAGTGGCCCACCTGCTGCTTCCCTAACACCCCCAAGACTGGCCTCTGGAAGATGAACTGTTAAGGGAGTTTTACAGACATTTAGTTTCTTATTATTATTATTTTTTGACATCCTGAGCTTAAGAATACAGTGTATATCCAGACCTTTGAACAGAAATAATAAATTAATTGGAATTTCCAACTTTTCTACAGTAATCCTAAATTCTTGTATATTGCTCATAAACAACAATGTTCTGAGAATTTGAAAACCGAATCACAAGAAAGACGCCAATGTGTACGACACTAAATAAGCTGAGTTGCTTGGGAAAAGTTTTGTTTTTACATCTTTAAATGAAAATCATAGAATGAATAGTAAAATAGCTTTTTAAACTTTCCAATAAAAGGCTAGATTCAATAGTTTAATATTGCATATAGTTTCTTCATAAAACCAAGTAATATAATTATTCCTAAATCTAATTTAACATTTGGAGAAGAAATTGCATGCACCATATTAAAGTTCTTTACTAATACACACACACACACAGAAAGTTTGGCCTTTGTCAATGATTCTTCATTTTCCTTTCTTATATTCCCTGCGGAAATACGTATTCCATTGAGCAACTCTTCATATATGATGCACTTGGTTGGTACCAACGCCAAGGTCAAGCCATCTTTAAATCCTTTAAATCAATCAATTCTTCATAAGAGAATTGTTGTTGTTCTTAGGTGCCATTGAGTCAGCAACAGAACGAAATACTGTTCTTTGGTTTGAGTCTTTGTTCTTTGGTTTGAGTCTATTGTTGCAGCCACTGTGACTATCCATCTCCTCAAAGGCCGCCCTCTTTCTTGCTGTCCCTCCATCTTACTAAGCATGACATCCTTCCCAAGGACTGGTATCGCTTGACAACATGTCTGAAGTATGGAAGACAATATCTCGTTATCCTTGCCTTTAAAAAGCTGTACTTCTCCCAAGACAGAAATATTTGTTCTTTGGCAGTCCCTGGTAATTTCAGTATTCCTCACCAAAACCCTAGTTCAAATGCCTCGGTTTTCCCCTGGTTTTCCTTACCCGGTGTCCAACTTTCCCATGCAGATGAGGTATGGTGCAGCAGATTTACCTAATGGGCTGCATCGTTTGATCTCTTTAAAGTATCTGATCTCTTCAAAGTATTCTCAGCCAGAATACTTTGATTAAATCCTCTTTTTCACCAGCCAGCACACTTTTTTTCATATATATCCTCGGTTTGAAATGCCGCATTCTTGTGTTCATCATTCAATAACTAAAAATAGAACTAGGGTAATCAAAACTTAGTTCTTTTTTCTGGGGAAATGCATGACTTTATGTGAAGCTGCAATAAATACCTACAAAGATTACAATATAATGAAAAGTGAAATGAAAGCATTGATTATGTTGCTTGCTGGTTTAAACTCTCCTTAAATCTTTCTGAAGCACTTTGAATTTCACATGTTTAAGTACCTTTAATTCTAATATTAAAAAAATTATATTCATAACGCCTCTTTTTTTATTATGAGCCATAACTCAGAAAGCTTAGCTGTTTCCATTTCTGCATAAAAGTTAATGAAGTGAGAAGAACATGTGCTGTACCACAAAAAATGTAGGGCGAATCGGGAGCCCAAGGGAGGGGTGATAACATCAAACTGCACTTCAATTTTTTTCAGAAATGTCATGATAAGTGGTTATCATGGCTTTTTTTCCCATCTGCCTAGAAATTCTAAATTGAAAGTCCAAAATGGAATTGAGAAAAGAGGGAAAAATAAATGTGATAAAAATTCGATCCAATTTTGACAACGTGTTAAGCATACAAATAATGTTTCTCTTTTAAAATGTCAATATTTTAATCAAGTGAATGTTGAATGTTCTTAAATTTCCAAATTATGACAAATAATTTTCTCTAAAGAATTGATGTAAAGCAACTAGTTTAGTGCCCTATAAATTTATGATAAATTAGGTTGCATTGTACATTTTGTTTTTAGGGCATGGTGGGGAAGGGATCTTTCTAATAATTAACATGGAAAATAATGATAAATAGCTGTCAATCAGAGCATAACAGACGCACATAGGCTGATGTGTTTGTTGATAGTCTTGAGTCTGATTCTACCTTTCACAATTAAGAGGCAGTAGCCATGAGATTTACTCTCTAAGCAAGCACCACGCTGCTCTTTACTCTTGTAGAATTGAATGTTCTCTTTTCATCCATGGGAACGTACATTATATTGAAACTAACACATAACCCACGGACTTGCAGTTGATTCCAACTGAACGGGATGCCATAGGACAGAGTCAAACTATCCCAAAAGATTTTCAAGGCAATTGAGTTTGAACCACCTGACATTTCAGTTAGCGGCCGAGTGCTTTAACTACTGCATCACCATGGCTCCTCTACCTAAATTATGTTATAAAAGTCTAGAGTACACATATTGAGTTATAATACAATTTCTCATACTCACAACAATACTTGGAGAATAATGAAATGTGAGTAAAGCAACTGATTTTAAAGATAGAGTGCTCTCATAAAGAAAACTCTGCCTCACCTCTTCCTGGCCAGAAGTTAGTAAAGTGTCAAGAAAGAAAAGCAATGTTTATGTGTCACTACTGGAGAAATAAACCTCATTCATACAAAAAAACAGTTGACTCTTCAAATGAGATACTAATGTTTCCCTCTTTTTCTTTCATTCCCGCCCCCACCCCACCCCCACCCCCGTTGATTGTAGATTAGGTGACAGTTTGCATATCAGATCATTTCCCATATGCTATATCGATTGCTGTCAAAGCCTAAAGATATTCTATACTGACTCTAGTTTGACTCTCTACAATAATCTCAATATTTGTCTTCTTTTATTTTTTTCAGTCAAGAGAATCTATTTCATTAAATGACCTGAAGTCGGAAGTATCCCCCCGGATTTCAGCAGAGGACTTGATTGACTTGTGTGAGCTGACAGTGACAGGTCATTTCAAAACACCCCCCAAGAAAACAAAGTCCAGTAAGCCAAAGCTCCTGGTGGTTGACATCCGGAATAATGAAGAGTATCCTTTACACATGCCGGTTTCAAGGGGAGTTCTACCTGATTTATATTGCCCCCTTTCCGTCTAAAGTATGTGTGGCAGAAAATAATCAGCATTGCTAGGGTTCCTGTGAATTCAAATAGCTAAATAACTCTGACACTGGATTCCAGAATAGATTTGTATGAGGTTTCATGCGATAAACATTACATACCAGAGACCATAAAATGTTTTCCAAACAACCCCAGAATATTGGGATGTTATCTTGGTATTTGTGTTTCATTGGTGTATATTATTATGCTTGAGGGCATTTGAGTTGTTCCTACTGTAGATACAAATTTTGGCAAAGATGTAGAGTTAGGTGTACTTCTGATCAACCTCGGAGCTAGATCTCAATAATGAGCTGGTGTTTACCATACTTTAAAAAATGTTTGCTGCATTTTTTCACTAAGATTTTTACTGTTGAACTTACTGTATATACTTCTATTGATTGTGTTTGATATTTAGGTATGACTAGTTAGAAAATAGTAAGAGTTCATCTTTTCTCCTTATGTTTTCATTATTTGTCAGGTTCATATAAAGCATGCCTTCATTCTCTATTTTCTAGAATCAAGGTGAATGCTTTTCAAACTTTAACAGAGTAACCCTGTATTTAAATAATTTTTTTCATTAGCCAGTATAAGGTTAATGAAGAAATGCTTTATAATTGCTTTTTTAATAGTTTACATTTATATAGGATTACTAGTGATGCTGCTATTGTTGCTAGTTGCTAGCCATGGAAATCCTGTAAGAATAAAGCACTGCCTACTCCCATGTTATCCCCACCATTGGTTGCAAAAGGGATGCTGATAATCCACTGGTGTCAGTTTGTTGAACTGTGATGCTGGTATCACTGCTATTTCAAGAGCCAACGGGGTCATCAAAGTGAACAGATTTCGGTAGAGCTTCAAGACTACGAACAGGTTGCAAAGATGCAATAGTCGCCCCTGTCAGAGGAATTCACTCTGGATAGCACTGAAACATTGTCAGTTACTGAAAACCTCATAACTAAACATTACCAGAGATTGTTCCAGAAGATGACTCCTCAGGTCAGAAGGCAATCAAACTATGGCTCAGGAAGACCTGTTTTCTCAAAGTAAAGTTGACCATAATGATGTGGTTACAATAATGCCTCGGGAGTAAAGCCTTCCAGACCTTCATTTGCTTACCAGTGAATGGTTTTCAACCCTTCAAAATGAGAAGAAACATCTGCATATATCAATTAGTAATCAGAAGTTGGAATGTATGAAGTATGAATCTAGGAAAAATGGAGGTCATCAAAAATAAAATGGAATATACAAATATCAATATCCTACATGTTAGTGAGCTGAAATGGACTGGTATTGACCCTTCTGAATCAGAAAATCTTATGGGTTTCAATGCTAGTAATGACACAAGGAAGAGGAATCATGTTGCATTTTTCATTAGAGAGGACATTTCAAGTACAACACTGTGTGATAGGATTACATCTATGCACATTCAAGGAAATCCAATCAATAAAACTATTCAAATTTATGTACCAACTACTAAAGCAAGTGATAAAGAAATTGAAGAATTCTACCAAAGCCTTCAGTCAGAAGTTGATCAAACGTGGTATCAAAAGGAACTGATAATGACTGACAATTGGAATGCAAAAGTTGGAAACAGGGAGGAAAGTTGGAAAATATGGTCTGGGTGATAGGAAAAAAGCTGAAGATCACCTGATAGAATTGTGTAAGACCAATAACTTATTGATAGATAGCAAATACCTTTATTCAACAACACAAAGCGTGACTATACACACGGACTTCTCCAGAATACACAGTAATCAAATTGACTACATCTATGGGAAGGCACAATGGAGAAACTCAGTATCAATAGCTAAAAGCAGGCCAAGAACTGACTTTGGAACAGACCAACAATTGCTCATACTTAAATGCAGTTTACAGTTGAAAATTAAAGCAATCCCTTAAGAGCCAAAATACAGTTTTAATTGAGTCTATCCCACCTGAATTTTTATAACATCTCAAGAACAGATTTGATACATGGAACACTGATGACAGAAGGCCTAGTGAGCTGTGGGAGGACATCAAGAGCATCATTCATGAAGAAAGCAAAAAGTCATTTAAAAGAAGGAAAATATCAAAATAGATGTCAGAAGAGACTCTGAAACTCGCTCTTAATTATAGAGTAAAATGGCAAATGGAAGAAATGATGAAGTCAAAAGAGCTAAAAAGGAAAGTTCAAAGGGAACATCGAAAAGGCAAAGTATAACAATGAAATGTGTAAAGACCTAGAGTTAGAAAATTAAAGGGAAGAACACACTCAGCATATCTTACACTGAAAGAACTTAAGAAAAATGCAATCCTGGAGTGTGATATTGAAAGATTTTATGGGCAAAATTTTATTTGCATATGATGTAATTGATATCACATGCAAGTAAAATTTTACTGGCGATCATCCAACAATGGTTGTAGCAGTACTTTGACAGGGAGCTTCCCAGAGGTACATGCTGGGCTCAGAAGACTTGGGACAAGGGATATCATTGCTGATGTCAGATGGATCTTAGCTCAAAAAAGAGAATATCAGAAAGATATCTTCTTGTGCTTTATTAACTATGAAAAATTGTCTGGATCATTAAAAACTAGAGATAATCTTGAGAAGAATGGGAATTCCAGAACACTTAATTGGGCTAATGAACCTCTACATGGATCAAGAGGCAATTGTTTTAACAGGGCAAAGGCATACTGCATGGTTCAAAATCAGGAAGGTGTGGGTCAGAGTTACATCCTTAGTATACTGAGCAAAAAATCAAAGAAAGTGCATTATATTTAAAATAATAAGGCACCAGGATTGGAGGAAGGTTATGTAAAGCCTGAAATATGCAGATGTCACAACCTTGTTTGCTGAAGATGAAGACGACTAAAAGCACTTGTTGATGAAGATCAAACATTGTCTCCTTCAGTATGTATTACAACTCACCACTAGACCAATTGGTAACAGCATGTTAAATGGAGGAAAAAATTGAAGTTGCCAAGGACTTAATTTCTCTTGGATCTACACTCAATGTTCATGAAAGAAGCAGTCAAGAGAGTAAATGATGCATTGCATTGGGTAAATCTACTGCACAAGTTCTCTATAAAGTGTTAAAAAGCAATGAGGTTACTTTGAAGACTAATGTATGCCCAACCCAAGCCAGGGTATATTTTCAATTGCCTCATCTGCATGTGAAAATTGGACATTGAATAATAAACTACTAAAGAAAAATTGATCCATTTAAACAATGATGCTGGTAACAAATATTGAAAATACCATGAACTGCCAAAAGAACAAACAGATCTGTCTTGGAAGAAAGAAGTAAAGCCAGAATACTCCCTAGAGTCAAGGATAGCTAGACTTCATCTCATATATTTTAGACATGCTGTTAGTCCCTGGAAAAGGACATCTTGCTTGGTAAAGTAGCAGGACAGTGAAAAATAGACTTTTGATGGGATGGATTGACACAGTGGCTACATTGATGGACTGAAATATAGGAACCATTTGTGAGGATGTTGCAGGACCAGGCATTGTTCCATTGTATTGTACATAGTGCCACTTGATGGTACCTAACAACAACAGCAATAAATTCCCAGAGGGCATGCCACTCTACTATAAGTCTCAAAGTGAAAGCACTCCACTACAGCTCTGTGGGTCAGCATGCCCAGCGCCCCCAGTTAGGTGCCAGGGGCACTGCACTCCTTCAGCCAGCCTCCTGACAAGAGCACTCAGTTTTACTTGCTCTGTGGGCTAGAAGTCCACCCTTCTGTCTCACCCTCTGGCTGCTAGTTCTGCTGCTGTAGCTGCTCCTCTGTCACTCATGCCTTTGGTAACATAATTGTCTCCTGGAACAAGGAGGTTTAGTGCTCAGAGATCTCGAGGTCCAAAGGGTAGGCTCCATTCTTGGCTCTTCCCTCCTGCTTCTGAGAGGGCTGATTTTATACCCAATAGGCTGGCAATCAAATCCATCCTGTTAGCAATCATGTATGGCTGAATCATAATCCAATCAGTACTAACCCCGCCTTCTTACCCAGATCCGTCAAGAAAACAAAGGTCACCTGGTAGGAGCAACAAAGACTATGGCTAGAAGAGCCGTACTAGATAATTCATGACATAGCAACTCCCCAAAGTAGCAGTAATTCCAGTTGACAGGCCAGGGATTCCTGCTCTAGAAATTTCTCTGATGTATTTCAGGAGTTTAAAATCTTTGTGGTTATTACCATTTTCTCTTATACTTATTTTGCTTGAGTTTTAACCATAGTCATTCACAAAACTATGATAGATGCTGAATTTTGTAACCTATCTTGAATGTAAAGACTATTATTACTAAAATAACAAAGTGACAGTCTGGGCAGCCCACAGGGGGGTGGCTATGAGTCAGCATTGACTCCATGACTGTGAGGTTTTTGTTGTTGTTTTGAGGGAGAAGGCATGTTAAAATTCTCCTTTCCTGTTATAACTTAAGGGTAAGACAATTTATTTGGCTTTTTAAAAAATTCCCTAAAACCATTCACTTGCTAGGGTTTTAATACTTAATTGAACATTTATTGAAATCCTCTTACATTTATTGAGTAATCATCTTTTCAGAGTAACAATTTATTCTTGGGAAGATAAATCCTTGGACTTGAATTCTAGAATTTGTGTGACTTTCACAATGACAAAACAAGTAATGCTGATGCTCCAAAATGTAGTTTTATGCAATACAGGAAATATGAAACTCTCTTTATCACTATCCCCTTCTCAAAATAAATATTATTTTTAAAATGCTATTTATAATATTTCCAAATCATTTATAACATCTGACTATCATCTTTATTCTCTATTTTGCTTTTATAGGTCATTTAAATGGCACAACTTTGATATTGCTTTTATATTTTCCTATAGGTGAAAATTTTTGTTTTATTTTCTTAAATTATGCTTGGCTATGAATTAAGATTAGGTTTCACCTCTTCTTTTTTTCACTTCTTTAA